TTTTTTTTTTTTTTTTTTTTTTTTTTTTGAGACGGAATCTCACTCTGTTGCCAAACTGGAGTGCAGTGGTGCAATCTCGGCTCACTGCAACCTCCACCTTCCAGGTTCAAGTGATTCTCCTGCCTCAGCCTCCCAAGTAGCTGGGACCTACAGGCACGCACCACCATGCCCAGCTAGTTTTTTGTATTTTTAGTAGAAACGGGGTTTCACCATGTTGGCCAGGATGGTCTCCATCTATTGACCTCATGATCCGCCCACCTTGGCCTCCCAAAGTGCCGGGATTACAGGCGTGAGCCACCTCACCCAGCCAGAATTTTTTAAAGACCAATTTTTGAGGGGAAAAAAACACCTGGTAGCTTTTAACTGTTGTACTTTAGTAAGACCGTCTCTCTGGATTTGGTAGCCTTGCATATTCATTCATTCATACTAATAAAAATGAATAAAGCACAGTCCTCATCCTTTTTGAACTCAGGCTCCAGAAGGCAGATACATTAACAGACAATTATAGCATAGGGCTAAGCTGTGAGAACACAGAGAAGGGAGTAAATAATCAATTCTGCAGAAGTTGGAGGTCTTCATAGCTGAGTCTTAAGAGACAAGTTAGGTTTTACCAACCAAAGAAGCAAGAGAGTCCCTTTAAACAGAGAGAAAAACAAGTATAAAGGCACAAAGCTATGGAAAATCTTGACTAAGGAATAGTGAGAGGCTCACTGTGGCTAGGCCAAGGGGTAGATGGTGTAGGGGAGGAAATGGGCCAAGGGAGGAAGAGAGTTGGGGCTGGATTGGAGAAAACAATACAGAGAAATGAAAAGAAAAATGACTCATAATCCTACCACTCCAAGTGATTCACTCTTAATTTTGGTATATTTCATTCCAGTTTTATAATTCTTATTGTAAACATGATAACTGCTCAAAAGCAAATAATAAAATTTTTTTAAAGCACAAAATAAATACAGATGATCTATTGCCTATCACTTGAAACAATCTATAGTATTAGTCCTTGAAATTTTTGGTGATTTCATGGTCAAGTGAAAAAGATTTAACTGTATTTCTGTAGACAAAAGCCAAAGGTATGTGTAGACAAGGAAGTAATTTGACAAGATTTGTTTTTAAGAAGATATCACTGATTACAGTATGGAAGTTGAACAAGTTTAAGAGGACGCTAGAGACCAAGATAGATGTCTGTGGCAGGACATTTACCTTTTTTTTTTTTTTTTTTTTTTAACTTTTTTGAGGTTTGGACAAAGAAACCTGTTTGATCCCAGCTGTGCAGGAGCCGAAGTTCCCACAGAACTACAACCTTGTAACTGAGAACCTTGCCCTGACAGAGTACACCTTGTACTTGGGATTTCACAGGTAACTCCTCTGATGTCATTAGGAAAAAACAATTTAGTTGTGTTGATAACGGGAAGGTTGCAAGTGATTCTTTGGCCAGGCACAATAGCTCACATCTGTAATCCCAGCATTTTGGGAGACCAAGGCAGGAGGATTGCTTGAGGCCGGAAGTTTAAGACCAACCTGGGCAAGAAAGTGAGATCCCCCCCATCTCTACGGGAAAAAAAAAAATTAGCCGGACATGGTGGCATGTGCTCGTAGTCTTAGCTGCTCTGGAGCGGAGGCAGGAAGATTGCTTGAGCCTAGGAGTTGGAGGTCGCAGTGAGCTATGATTGTACAACTGTACTCCATCCTGGGTGACATAGTGATAACCTGTCTCTTAAAAAAAAAAGAGAGACAGTCTTAGAGATATAACCTGAGCTTATTCTAAAGGCTTACATTAGAATCTAGTAGGAAAAGGGCATTGTATGAATTTATTTCTGTTTCATGAATCAGCTTTGTACAGATTCCTTACATTTGTTTTTAACTGTTGGTGTTGAAACAGAGTTTCACTCTTGTCACCCAGGCTGGAGTGTAGTGGCACATTTTCAGCTCACTGCAACCTCCGCCTCCTGGGTTCAAGCGGTTCTCCTGCCTCAGCCTCCTTAGTAGCTGGGATCACAGGCATGTACCACCAGGCCTGGCTGATTTTGTATTTTTTTAGTAGAGACAGAGTTTCACCATGTTGCCAGGCTGGTCTCAAACTCTTGGGCTCAAGTGAGCCCCCTACCTTGGCCTCTCAAAGTGCTGGGATTACAGGTATAAGCCACTGTGCCTGGCCTGTTCTTAACTTTTGACCTGTTATACTTACAGACTTAAAGATGCACTGGAATTTTTCTCTGCATTTGCAAATTTTTAAATAACTGTTTTTCTATTATGATCTGGGAAAGTGGAATTTTCATTTTATATTGCACTTTCTGCTCTTAAATTTTCGTTACTGGCCAGGTGTGGTGGCTCATGTCTGTAATCCTTAGCACTTTGGGCGGCCAAAGGCAGGCAGATCACTTGAGCCCAGGAGTTTGAGACCAGCCTGGGCAACCTGGCAAAACTCCATCTCTACAAAATATACAAAAATTAGCTGGGCATGGTGGCGTGCACCTATAGTCCCAGCTACTCGGGAGGCTGAGGTGGGAGGGTCTCTTGAGCCTAGGAGATTGAGACTGCAGTGAGCCGAGATTGCACCACTGCACTCCAGCCTGGGCAACATAGTGAAACCCTGTCTCAAAAAAAAAAAACCTATTTCATTACTACTCCTGGTGATAAAAGACTAAGTTCTACTCTACAGAGAGACAAAAATGGCAAAAATGAAGGAAATATTTATAAGGGAATCTGATGAGATTAATAGGACCATGGAAGAGCTGTGCATAGTAAAGAAGATTCTAGAAATATGAAGACTTTACAACCAGAATGTATGACTTCCAAAAACAGTTCTTGTTCTGGCTATCCATTATTCTGTAATTTTTTTTCCTCTGATATAGCTGATTATGACAAGTATAAGTAGAGGAAGAAAACAGCAGCTCAGTCATAGAAAGGGATACTAAGAATAGCAATTTTAATGCCTTCTCAAGACACCTGAATAGATGCAGAGCATTTTTCAAAACTATTCAGTCAACACATTGCTGGAAGAATGAAATTATATCTTTAGAGAGAAATCCCCATCATAGACATTTTAAATGAGACAGTAGATAAAAGTTCAGCATGTGCTTAACCTGCTCAACTGCCTAGATTCAAACAAAAAATGAATATCATCTAGTTTCCCAGTATTCACTAGCCCAAGACATTATCTACAGGGCTAGAGGAGATGATTTTAGACTATTATCCATAACTTTGAATTATGTGTCTTCCTTTCAGTAGAGAATATTAGGCTGACCTTTTCTGAAGAATAATTTAATTTAATATTGAACAACAGAGAGCTGGAAGCTGCTCTTAGATTGCATCTCAGGTGGCTACTAGTTTATATGTGGTCATTACTAATCTAGAGTCCCTTTTCACCAGCTTAGTTTTCTACTAACCAAAGAAAGACCATCCATATAACCCCATCAAAGTGTGATCATTGCATCGAAGTATGATCATTGTCCTTGTGTGGTATAAAACTATTCTGCTGGGCTTCTTGTACTTTGCCTAATGATTATTTATTTTATCTAATAAACAGTCCATTCTACATCTAACTCACCCAAGCTGCCTTTCTTTGGATAGTGCATTTCAACTGGAGGCTGCTAACTATTTGCTATTAGCTTCAATTATGTTGAATACTTGGCAGCGCTTTCCCATTGCTGTGCACCCTGCCTGTGTCCTGTCAAAAACTTTTGTGAATGCCTTCTGTGTCATTACAACTGCAACTCCCTGCTATCCTTAAACAGAAGACTAGAATAAATAATTGAGGATTTAGTTTTTGTGACTTTCTGTTTTTCCTGACCCAGTCTCTTCTGCTTTCTTGGGGGCAGGTTGCATGATCAGATGGTAAAAATCAACCAAAATCTGCATCGGCTGCAGGTTGCCTGGCGGGATGCTCAGCAAAGTTCTAGCCCTGCTGCTGACAATCTTCGTGAGCAGTTTGAACGACTGATGACCATCTATCTTTCTACCAAGACTGCCATGACAGAGCCACAAATGCTACAAAACTGCCTAAACTTGCAGGTGTCCATGGCTGTTCTACTGGTTCAACTGGCCATAGGCAATGAGGGCTCACAGCCAATAGAGCTAACCTTTCCTTTGCCAGATGGCTACAGCTCTTTGGCTTATGTGCCAGGTAAGCAGGCTCTCCCTTGGGAATGTCCTATTTATAGCCTTCTGAGTTTAACTGGGTCACTTTGGAAGCTTAATCCTCAAAATACCCTTTCTTCATTATCATTCAGTTGTTTTTGGAGAAACAACTCAAACTTAGTATCTACTGGTCAGAGTATTGGGGGACTAACAGTTTGTTCCTCAACCTTGTGTCCCCACTGCTATGCATATCAGAAAATCATCTTCAAAGGATTAAATGTAGTCAGAGTTGTCAGAGCTGTTAGTTTCTATCATTATTTGTTCAATTTACACATTCATCTAACTTTCCCTGTCCTTTTCGTGGAAAAAAAAAAAAATTAGTTCCTGTTGGTTAGCTCAGAAGGGAAAAAGAAAGAGAGAGAGAGAGTGTGTGTGTGTCTCAGTCAGTGAGAGGTGGGCAGGTGTTGTCAGTCTAATCAGTTTATATGTTCTTAACCATTGTATTGGTCACATCATGCTGTGTAACAGATTACCGCAAAACTTAGCTCAAAACTACAGACCGGGTACGGTGGTGCACACCTGTAATCCCAGCACTTAGGGAGGCCAAGACAGGATGATTACTTGAGCCTAGGAGTTCAAGATTGGCCTGGGCAACATAGGGAGACCTTATCTCTACAAAAAAATTAAGAATTAGCTCGGCATGGTAGTGCATACCTGTAGCTCCAGCTACTCAGGAGGCTGAAGTGAGAGAATCACTTGAGCCCATGAAGTTGAGGCCACAGTGAGCCATAGTTGCACCACTGCACTCCAGCCTGGGTACAGAGCAGGACCTTACCTCATAAAAAATAACAAAATAACAACAACTACAAACAGCTCACCCAGCTGCATGGTTCTGACTTAGAGTTCCTCAGGAAGTTACATAGCCAAGCTGTTAATCAGGGCCTTAGGAATCTGAGGACTCTACTAGGGCTAGAGGATCCGCTTACAAGCCCAGTCATGTGGTTGTTGACAGACTTCAGTTGCTTGTGCTATTGGCCAGCAGCCTCTTCTAGGCCATGTATGTGTCTTCTAAATACTACCACAATATGGCAGCTGGCTTCCCCCAGAGCAAGTGACCAAAATGGAGACTGTAAGCTTTAATACCCTAATCTTGGAAATGACATATCATCACATCTGCTGTATGCCTCAGAGTTTATCTTCTACTCTGATAGAGTAAATATAGGAAGGGACTGCACAAGGTCATGAATACCAAAAGGCAGTGTTCACTGGAGGACCATCCTGGAGGCAGGCTACCGCCGTCATCTAACATATTAATCTTTACTAGGGAGCCCTCATACATCTGAAGGGTTTAAACCATGGTTAACCTTGAGAGTAAAAATGTGTATATAGTATACTGGTGTGTTGACAGTTTGTGTCCTTACTGTTCACATATTTACTTGGATAAAAATTTAAATTGACTTACACTTAAAGGAGATTTTACGTTTATTGACTTACCACCATCTCTAGTACCAACAAAACATTTAGGTTTTTTTAACCTTCATTAAGTATGGTGAAAGGGAGGAATTTAAATGTTGTTTATTAGTACAGATATACAGATGTTTGGCTAATTCCAGTGAATATTTTCTTTTTCAGAATTTTTTGCAGATAACCTGGGTGATTTTCTCATTTTTCTCCGCCGCTTTGCCGATGACATTTTGGAGACATCAGCAGATTCCCTGGAGCATGTCCTTCATTTTATCACCATTTTCACTGGAAGCATAGAAAGGTGAAGTGCTGAAAGCTTGGTTCTGTCACTGTTTGCTGTAAAACATTCAGAAGACTTCTAAACCAAGAAACAAGCCTGAATCATAAGGGGTTGCCTTCAGAAGTTACGTTAAAATTAATGAAGCACCTGACCATCTGGCTACCCATAGGTAACCAGAAATCCCACCATTGAGAGGTATAACAAACAAAAGACTTTGCCCACAGAAAATTTAATCCTGCATATAAGATATCTGATGGGAATTCCACTGCTGCAAGTCCCTGGTTAAAGTAGTTAACATAATGCCAAAAACTTACCAGTGGCAGCCAGGTGCTAATGATCTTCTAACAATTATATGATGATAAAGTTTGTTTTTGCTATTCTGAGTTGGATGAGCAGTAAACTTAAATCAATGTTATTTCAAATGTTCTCACTCATAGCTTCTAGTCTTCTTTTCCAAAGGAAGATTCTGTGACTTGTAGAATTGCTTCCCTGATTTTTTTTGACGCATAGGCTAAAGGAAATGGAAACTCTGTGTACAAAAGTGAAGATTTCCTGCAGAGTGAAGAGAATGACCCACAATTCCCTGAGCTGTATCAGTAATAAGTAGAGAGAAGCCAATTCTTCACAGAGCTGAGCATACCTAATGAGAAGTCATAAGTCAACAAGTATTATGCATACACTGTATACGTCATGGGTAATGTAGCATAATTCTATCCTAGTCTTTACCCTCAGAAAGCTTGAAAAGGCAAGTTTATCCCACATGAAACTCAGAGAATAGTAAGCAGTAAATAATGCATTATTACAGAGAAGTAAACAATGGCTAAGCATTCAATAGAAACGTAAGTGCTCACTCTCATACTTGGTAAGCTGTCATCTCAAGAATTAAATGATATACCCTGCATCACCCCCACCAAGAAACTGACAAACTTAAAACTGCAGAAGTGGATCCTTTTTTTTCCTATAATGATGGTTTAGGGTGGATTTTGATTCTTACGTGGAGAGAATAGAGTCATAAATTTGGAGTCAGGCTTATCTGCTCATCTTCCTTTTTGCCCATTTGCAGAATGAAGAATCCCCACCTGCGGGCCAAACTAGCAGAGGTGTTGGAAGCAGTGATGCCCCACCTGGATCAGACCCCAAATCCCTTGGTATCCAGTGTGTTCCACCGGAAACGTGTGTTCTGCAACTTTCAATATGCACCCCAACTTGCAGAGGCTCTAATCAAGGTTTTTGTGGACATTGAATTCACAGGTAAAGCAGTCATGAAGCCGAGCCCAGAACTGAGAAGCTGATACCAGTGGAGTGTCATAGTTTGATCTGTATTTGGGTATCAAAGAAATGTCAGGCCATTATTTATTGAATACTCACCATGTGCCAGGCTTGATGATAAGTGCTTTTTTTTAAATATTCCATTGTCACCATCTGAAAAGTTTCACTCTGCTGTCCCTGTTTTATTTTTTTTTTAATTCCTGTTTTGCATATGAAGATATGATGGCCCAAAAGATCAAATTATGTGTCCATGTTTTAACAAACTACCAAGTGGTGGAACAGGTCTGTGTCACCTAAAGAAATCTACATATTCAACACCCTTTTTATGTTGCTTTATCAAATCAGACTCAGATTAGGCTATTTGATGAAAACCTGCATCTTTATTTTTCTCTGCTTTAAAATTACAGAATAGTGGATAAAGAGACAGAGTGCTAGTTGAGAGATTCTTCTATCTTAACCAGACTGTCTTCACTCTCCGACAGTCTAATTGTTAGATTAAGAATACCAACAGGCTCGTGCTTGTAATCCCAGCACTTTGGAGGCCAAAAGCTCAACTCACTTAAGCTCAGGAGTTCAAGACCAGCCTGGCCAACATGGTGAAACCCCATCGCTACAAAATACAAAAATTAGCCAGGCATGGTGGCCAGCACCTGCTAATTCCAGCTACTCAGGAGGCAGAGGCACAAGAATCACTTGAATTAGGGAGGCAGAGGTGGCAGTGAACTGAGATTGCACCACTGCATTTCAGCCTGGATGACAGAGCAAGAAATCATCTCAAAAAAAAAAAAAAACAGCAGTCAACATTCCCTTTCTAACCCTGAGCCCCTGTGTTTGTTTGAACAGTACCCTATCTCAGTCAGTAAATAAGATATGTTAAGAAATTGTTGAAGACCTTTTTTAAAGGGATGTCTACCATCCAATGATAAATATAGCTAACATTTAAGGAGGCATTTAATATTTTACTGGCCACCTTTCCATATTTGGGTTCTGGTTTTTTTTTCACTCGCTGATCTATGAGCCTTAGTTTTCTCATCTATAACATGGGTCAAAGTGATGATTAAGTGAAAAATAATACATGTAAATCTTTATAATACATAAGAAACTGTATAATCACTGCAGTTATCTTATGTGACCATATAACCAAAGTATTGTAATGGAGTACAATTTCTGTTCCATTTCTGAGGAAGTGGAATCTGAAAAGGATTAAGAGACTTAGATTAAGAATGAAAACCGAGGTCTTTTGACTCCAAATCCTACACTCTTCCTTTATTATGACCCAGCCTATGGAGCTCTAGTAATACCTTTCGTATTTCAAAAGCAGTATAAGCCTCAGATTTTTAGCTCCTGACCTGATTTTTCAGAGTAATCAGGAACCTGTTGGCTATACCAGTTGTCCGTGAAGAATGTGGGAATTGCTTAGTGTCCCGCCCTGCACATGGCTTTCACTGCCATAATGGCCAGTCCTGAGCCCTCATTTAAAGTCTGAGAAGTACTTATGTTTGGATATGGAAGTATTTGTCTCCCTTGGCATTTTTTTTTTTTTTTTTTTTTTTTTTTTTTTTTTCTGAGATGGAGCCTCACTCTGTTGCCCAGCTGGAATGCAGTGGCACAATCTTGGCTCACTGCAACGTCCGCCTCCTGGGTTCAAGCGATTCTCCTGCCTCAGCCTCCCGAGTAGCTAGGACTACAGGCGCATGCCACCACACCCAGCTAAGTTTTGTATTTTTAGTAGAGACGGGGTTTCACCATGTTGGCCAGGATGGTCTCGATCTCTTGGCCTCGTGATCTACCCGCCTTGGCCTCCCAAAGTGCTGGGATTACAGGCATGAGCTCCTCACCCAGCCACCCCTTGGCTTTTATTTTATAGCTTGGTACTTGTCTCTTGCAGAGTAAGGTATCCTTTATCTCTGTCTCCATCTTAATTTGTCAGTAAGGAAATGAACAAACACTTGCCCATAACTCTAGGCCTTCAGAAACGCCAGGGCAGATTTTGTTAGTAGCCTTTACATACTCAAAAGCAAATGACTACACATAGGCATAAGCTCTTCCACTTTCTCTTATAGCACCACCTTTGCTGATATTTTGCCCTTGCCTTACTCCAGGAGATCCCCATCAATTTGAACAGAAGTTTAATTACCGCCGTCCCATGTATCCCATCCTAAGATACATGTGGGGGACAGATAGCTATCGGGAGAGCATTAAGGTGAGAGAGTTTTTGGTGAAACCAGTTGCTTTACATAAGCCCCAGTGAGTTGTGATTCAATACTAACATGGTTTTCTTGTGGGCTGGGACTTACAGGATTTGGCTGACTATGCCTCTAAGAATTTAGAAGCTATGAATCCCCCACTTTTCCTCCGCTTTCTTAACCTGCTAATGAATGATGCCATCTTCCTTTTGGATGAAGCCATACAGGTAAAATATAAATATATATTTTTATATTTTATATAAATATATATATATATAAATATTTAACTCCCCCATACCATCAAATCATCATTAGTACATACAGTTTACCTTTTTATCATAATAGAGCAATCCTTATGCCCCTAGTACCAGACTTGAACACCAAAAATTTGTGATTAGTAGTGTACCACCAAGCTTGCCATTACACAGCTTTCTAGACCATTCCATTAGAGAGCAAGATCAAGGGTCATTGAAGCATCATGAGATGGATATTTTGGCAGAGTTGAAAATACCATATGGGCCAGGCACAGTGGCTCACACCTCTAATCCCAGCACTTTGGGAGGCCAAGGCAGGCGGATCACGAAGTCAAGAGATAGAAACCATCCTGGCCAACATGATGAAACCCCGTCTCTACTAAAAATACAAAAATTAGCTGGGCATGGTAGCGTGCACCTGTAGTCCCAGCCACTTGGGAGGCAGGAGAATTGCTTGAACCCGGGAGGCGAAAGTTGCAGTGAACTGAGATCATGCCACTGCACTCCAGCCTGGTGACAGGGTGAGACTCTGTCTCAAAAAAAAAAAAAACCATATGATGAAACCAAACTAAAGTGTACTGGCAGGAGTAATTCATCAGGCCAGTACTACAGAAAGAAATCAGAGGAGCTTGCTTTTGGTCAGTGACTTTCAACCCTTTTAATCCCAACATGTCGGTAATATATCTCACTAAAACAATGATTTTTAACCCACTTTCTAAAAGAATTCTGATTTTTGCACCACTACTTGAAAAAAATCTCTGATTTGGTTTATTTTTTCATATAAAGACTCCAAGTTTAGCACTGAAATGTCCTTTAAATTTAAAAAAAAAAAAAAAGGCTCCAAGTTGTCAATACTTCTCATCTTTCCACTGCCTCCTAAATCCTTAGCTATATTGTGAAACAAAGGCTTCACAAAGTATTAAATACAGCTGGGTGCCTCTCAGCTCCTTCAGTGTATTATTTCCTTAAGATTCCCTGGTAGAACTGCTTATTTCTCCCATAAAAACTAAGTATAGGATGCACAGGGCACTGACCTAAACGGAGTTGAAGCAGGCAAATCCTGGGGGTAGCCTTTAGACAGTCACAAGTCCTTGTAGTGCCCAGCAGTCCCCTGAGTAGCTCGTGTTTAATTTGTGAGAAAGATTTGATCTGTTTTCTTCATAATCCTAAACTTTAGGATTTAAGATAGGTTTTCTTCAAAAATGAGAATAGGTCCTGTTACAAACAGACCCTTTTAAGCAAGAGGTGTGTGACACAAAGCATGAAGCATATGGTATTTTCATGAGACTGTACCTTTAACAAGTTGTTTGCTACAACAGGAAGGATGATGTAAGGTAGAGAGTTTTAAATAATTATGGTTCTTCCACACATCGTGCATATTTGATAGAGCTTTGATTTTTTTGTAAGCAATTTGGAAGTGGAAGGGGGATTTGTTTTCATCTTTCAGGAAGGAGTCCTCCTTTTTTCACCATGGTGTGGGGTTTTTTAGTTTTTCATTTCTTGGCCTGGGTTTCACATATTAAACTATTTATCCTTCTTTCTATTTCACAATGGTATACTATTTCTAGGGAAATTACCTGTGAATCTGCCCAAGCTGAAACAAATCTGTACGAAGCCACAATTTCTTTTTTCCCTGAAAGTTCTTTTAAGCTTCAGCCCTATGCTGAGAAATAAAGGCTCATATCTCTTACATGGTCCCTCATTTTCCCAGCTTAGTTGACTGGATTTTGAATAGGACCTCTTAAAGTCATGTCCCTTCAACTGCGCTTTCTTCTCTGATATATCCCACCTCTGGTTTCTGAAGTATTTGAGCAAGATAAAGATTCAGCAGATTGAGAAGGACCGAGGCGAATGGGATAGTCTGACTCCAGAAGCCCGTCGAGAAAAGGAGGCTGGTCTACAGATGTTTGGACAGCTGGCACGTTTCCATAACATCATGTCCAATGAAACAATTGGTACCCTTGCCTTTCTCACATCAGGTAAGGACACAAGTACCGCTTTCCCCTGAAAAAGTAATGGCCAAGATCTGCTTTCCTTGAGGGATCAGCCCAGCCGAAACTAAGAATTTAAACTCTGGTGACAGTGTCCTCCACATCTGAGAGGGAAACGAATCATTTGAGAAGCTTCAAAAAGAATGATGATGCCCATTGTTGACATGGGAATGAGGAAATGGTCACCCTCACATGGCTGCTACAGAGCATAAGCTGGTGAAATATCTTTCTTGAGGACAAGTTAGCCATATAAATATATGTGTGTCTGTACATATACACACATACACACACACGTTAATCTCAGAAATATGCTTGAACATACACACACACACACACACACACACACACACACACACACACGTACACACGTATGTTAATCTGCGAAATATGATTGAATCCCGGTTAAATGTGGTGGATCTAACAGATGTTTATCTCTACTCCCTCTATAGCCCCACTGTCCAATTCAGTAGCCACTTGCCACATTTAAAATGTGGCTAGTCTGAATTGAGATGTGCTGTAAGTATAAAATATGCACTGTAAGACTTAATGTTAAAATGTAAAATATGTCCATTTTTATACTGATTACATAATGTCTCAGCCAAATATGACAACCAATAATCACCAAACATTTGAGGAAATCCTCTAAGGTGAAACATAAATAAGTGAAAACTTTGTAAAAACTTTTTTTTTTTGAGACGGAGTCTCACTGTGTCACCAGACTGGAGTGCAGTGTTGTGATCTTGGCTCACTCCAACCTCCGTGTCCTGGGTTCAAGTGCTTCTTCTGCCTCAGCCTCCCAAGTAGCTGGGACTATAGGTGCGCACCACCATCCAGATAATTTTTGTATTTTTATAAGAGACAGGGTTTCACGATATTGGCCAGGATGGTCTTGATCTCTTGACCTCGTGATCTGCCTGCCTTGGCCTCCCAAAGTACTGGGATTACAGGAGTGAGCTACTGTCCCTGGCCTTTTTTTTTTTTTTTTTTTGTGAGACAGAGTCTTACTCCATCACCCAGGCTGGCGTGCAATGGCATGATCTTGGCTCACTGCAACCTCCATCTCCCAGGTACAAGCAATTCTCCTGCCTCAGCCTCCCAAGTAGCTGGGACTACAGGTGTACGCCACCACACCCAGCTACTTTTTTTAGTAAAGATGGGGTTTCACCATGTTGGCCAGGCTGGTCTCGAACTCTTGACCTCGTGACCCACCCACCTCGGCCTCTCAAAGTGCTGGGATTACAGGCGTGAGCCACCACGCCTAGCCTGTAAAAACTTTTTTAAAAAACTTTATAGGCCAGGCCCAGTGGCTCATGGCTGTAATCCCAGCACTTTGGGAGGCCAAGGCTGATGGATCACCTGAGGTCAGGAGTTCAAGATCAGCCTAGCCAACATGGCAAAACCTCATCACTACTAAAAATACAAAAATTAGCCAGGCATGGTGGCAGGCATCTGTAATCCCAGCTATGCAGGAGGCTGAGGCAGGAGAGTCACTTGAACCCAGGATAGAGGTTGTAGTGAGCCAAGATCACACCACTGTACTCCAGCCTGGATGACCGAGCAAGACTCCATCTCAAAAAAAAAAAAACTTTATAATCTCAGAGGGATAAGAGAAGATACAGCAGCCACAAAACAAGAACAAAGTGACAATGAAAGAGATTAAAGAATAAGAGCTCTTGGATATTGAAATTTTTACCTCAGAAATATTAAATATTCAGTAACAGGGTTAGAAGATATAAATTCAAGGAATTTCTATGAAGTTAGAACAGAAGGAAAAAGAGATGGAAATTAGAAGAGAAAGGATGAAAAAAAATAAAGGATGGATCTAGGAAGTCTCAAAAGAAAAAAATGGAGGAGAGGAAGTTATCAAAGATACCAAAAAATCCCCTAGACTCAAAGACAGCCTCTACATTGAAAGGGCTTGCCAAGTACCCTATGCAGAGAATTTTTTTTAAACCCACACTGAGGCCGGGCGCGGTGGCTCACGCCTGTAATCCCAGCACTTTGGGAGGCCGAGGCAGGTGGATCATGAAGTCAAGAGATCAAGACCATCGTATCGTGGTCAACATGGTGAAACCCCGTCTCTACTAAAAATACAAAAAATTAGCTGGGCATGGTAGCGCGTGCCTGTAATCCCAGCTACTCAGGAGGCTGAGGCAGGAGAATTGCCTGAACCCAGGAGGCAGAGGTTGCGGTGAGCCGAGATCGCGCCATTGCACTCCAGCCTGGGTAACGAGCGAAACTCCGTCCCAAAAAAAAAATAATAATAAAAAAAAAATAAACCCACACTGAGGCATAATGTGAAATTTCAGGAAATCATGGTAAAAAGAAGACCCTAAAATACCCCAGAGAAGTCAGGTAATGTTACTGTAGTTTAAGTATTAAAATGGCTTTGAAATTCCAACAGTGACATTTGAAGCTGAGACACATTTCTGAGGGAAAATAAACTCAGGAGGAGGAAGAAGGGATTCAACACAAGGGAGACGCAAAGGAGATTCCCAGGATTATGGTAAAAGGAGCTTGTATGACCACTACACAGCAGGCCTGTAGAGCAAGCAGTCCAGGTTGGAGCAAAGGATGGAAACATCCAAAAAGAATGTTTCCAAAAATTAATCAGCAGCTAGAAATGACCATGTTGAGAGTTTTAAATTCCAGTGGAGAGTTTCAAAAGGTTTTAGTGATAAAGAGGTTCTGAAAATAAGCAAAAAGTTACACTAAAAAGGAACTATATAATCAATAGGGCAGCATAGGGCTCTGCTGTGAATGATATTTACATAATTTTAATAAACTAGCCAAAAACTTGACTATATATTGAGGGCATTTGTGATCATGACTAAAACTGAAAAATCAAGAACTATCAGTACCAACCAAGCATAGCATTATGATACTATCTGGCTTGTTAAATTTGGCATGTATAAATTTATTTTTTTTAATTTTTGGATTCATGCCTTATGACATAGCAGTTCCTTACAGATTTGCTAAGAAGAAGTGATAGGCTGGCCTGGTGGCTCATGCCTATAATCCCAGCCCTTTGGGAGGCCAAGCAGGCAGATCATGAGGTCAGAAGTGTGAGACCAGCCTGGCCAACACAGTGAAACCCCGTCTCTAGTAAAATTACAAAAATTAGCCAAGTGTGGTAGCAGGCACCTGTAGTCCCAGCTACTTGGGGGGCTGAGGCAGGAGAATCACTTGAACCTGGGAGGTGGAGGTTGCAGTGAGCCAAGATCACACAGCTGCACTCCAACCTGGGTGACAGAGCAAGACTCCATCTCAAAAAAAAAAGAGAGAAAGAAGCGATGAGTCTGTAAGATAATGAAGTTCATTGATAAGTAAGGTATAGGAAAAAATTGAAAATAGTTAAAATGTCCACCAAAGACATTAAATAAATAACTTATGGTGCAGTTACAAGTGGAAAAGTCAGCCATTAAAAATGATGTAAGCCAGGCATGGTGGCTCACACCTGTGATCCTGGCACTTTGGGAGGCAGAGGCAGGCGGATCAGCTAAGATCAGGAGTTCGAGATTAGCTTGACCAACATGGAGAAACCCTGTCTCTACTAAAAATACAAAATTAGCTGAGCATGGTGGTACATAACTGTAATCCCAGCTACTCAGGCAGCTGAGGCAGGAGAATCGCTTGTACCTGAGAAGCAGAGGTTGTGGTGAACCAAGATCACACCAGTGTACTCCAGCCTGGGCAAAAGAGTGAAACTCCATCTCAAAAAAAAAAAAACGTGGCCGGGCGCGGTGGCTGACACCTGTAATCCCAGCACTTTGGGAGGCCGAGGCGGGTGGATCACGAGGTCAAGAGATCGAGACCATCCTGGTCAACAAGGTGAAACCTCATCTCTACTAAAAATACAAAAATTAGCTGGGCATGATGGTGCGTGCCTGTAGTCCCAGCTACTCGGGAGGCTGAGGCAGGAGAATTGCTTGAACCCAGGAGGCGGAGGTTGCAGTGAGCCGAGATTGTGCCATTGCACTCCAGTCTGGGCAACAACAGCAAAACTCCATCTCAAAAAAAAAAAAAAAAAAAATGTAAAACAGACTGGGTACAGTGGCTCACACCTAAATCTCAGCACTTTGGGAGGCCAAGGCAGAAGGATCCCTTGAGCCCAGGAGGTTGAGACTACCTTGAGCCATGATCATGCCACTGCACTCCAGCCTGGGCAACAGCAAGACCCTGTCTCAAAAAAACATTTTTTTTAATTTAAAAAAAAAAAGATACAAAACAGCTGGTCACAGTGGCTCATGCCTGTAATCCTAACACTTTGGGAGCTGAGGCAGGAGGATCACTTTGAGTCCAGGAGTTTGAGACCAGCCTGGGCAATAGAGTGAGACCCCATCTCATTTTTTTAGAAAGATGATGTGAATCACCCTATTCTATAGAACTTTCTGTGATGGCGAAAGTGTCCTGTAAATCTGGGCTGTCCAGTACCATATTAACTAGCCACATGTGGCAATGTGACTGAGGAGTGAATTTTTTATTTAATTTTAATAGTCACATGTGGCCAGTGGCTGCTATGTTGGACAGCACAGGAAAATACACTTACTAAAATGGTAAAGTATTTGCAGTATAGTTACTGAAAACAGTAAGTTTCAGAATATGTAAAATATGATCATTTTTGTTGGAAACATGTCTATGTGTGTGTGTAAATATGAACAGAAAAGCTAGAACAAAATGTTAAATTAGCAAGATGATAACAGTGTTTATCTGTGGGTGATAGTTTTTGTCTTTTCTGGTTTTGGGTTTTGGTTTTTGCTTGTCTGTATTTTCTGCAGTGAAAATGAATTACTTAGTTTTTTAAAAAGAAGTCCCTTCCACAATTTTAAAAATAAAATAATAGTAGTCCCCAGAGACCTCCAAGTAAACTATACATAATAAGGAAAAGAGTGCTAATGGATTGAGTTTTCAGAGACTTTGTTTTCTTTCCCAGAGATCAAGTCACTCTTTGTGCATCCCTTCCTGGCTGAGCGCATCATCTCCATGTTGAACTACTTTCTGCAACACCTGGTTGGCCCCAAGATGGGTGCCTTAAAAGTCAAGGACTTCAGTGAATTTGACTTCAAACCCCAGCAGCTTGTATCAGATATCTGCACTATCTACTTAAATCTTGGGTACCTGATGTTGGAATTTGTCAAGCCAGAGGGGATGCTAATGTTTTGATTTAGGATTTTGACAGTAGAATGACCAGTTGATAATTATGTGGAAATAGAAAAGAAATGGTTCATTCCTAGTTGGTTGATGAAGGAATCTTCTGTAGTTTTAAATAAGGAGATTTTATCTGGGCAAGGTGTGGTGTGCCTGTGGTCCAAGCTACTGGGGAGGCTGAAGTGCGAGGATTGCTTAAGGCCAGGAGTTTCAGACCAGCCTGGCAACACAGCGAGACTCCATCTCTAAAAAATAAATAAGATTTTGTGTGACCCATGGGACATTACGATTTCCAGTATTCTGCTTTGATCTGTGCAAAGATAAATTACTGGTTGTACCACTGTTTGGAAAAGTAGCATTCTTTTAAGGTCACATGATACTTGCTAGACTTCTAGAAAGTTTCTATATCAGGTTGGGCGCAGTGGCTCTCGCCTGTAATCCCAGCACTTTGGGAGGCGGAGGCAGATGGATTGTGATCTACAAGGTCAAGAGATCAGGACCATCCTGGCCAACATGGTGAAACCCCGTCTGTATTAAAAAATACAAAAATTAGCCGGGCGTGGTGGCACGTGCCTGTAGTCCCAGCTACTTGGGAGGTTGAGGCAGGAAAATCACTTGAACCCAGAAAGCGGAGGTGGCAGTGAGCCTAGATCGTGCCACTGCACTCCAGCCTGGCAACAGGGCGAGACCCCGTCTCAAAAACAAAAAAAAGTCTATATCAAAAAGTGAGTGTGTGTGTGTGTGTGTGTGTGTGTGTGTGTGTGTAAAGAAGTCTTTCTATATCAAAAGAATGTTCATGGCTTGTGAGTGCTGAGAATACTTGTTCTGCAGCCTGTCTGTTGTCTCTTCCATTGACCTACCTTCTGGTGATCAGTATTTTTCTGATGCTGACCTTCCAGGGATGAAGAGAATTTCTGTGCCACTGTGCCCAAGGATGGACGTTCCTATTCCCCAACTCTCTTTGCACAGACAGTTCGAGTCTTGAAAAAAATAAATAAGCCTGGGAATATGATTGTGGCTTTCAGCAACTTGGCAGAGAGAATCAAGGTGAGGAAGAAGAGGATTTATTTGCCGACAAGTTCATTAAGAACCACATTGTCAGCCAGGCACGGGGGCTCAAGCCTATAGTCCCACCTACTTAAGAGGCTAAGGCTGGAGGATCGCTTAATCCCAAGAGTTTGAGGCTGCAGTGTGCTATGAGCATGCCTGTGTGTAGCCACTGCACACCAGCCTTGGCAAGATAGCATCTCCTAAGGATCCACACAAAAAAATCAGATTGTCACCTCAGCTGTGCTGATTTTTACCCTATTTCAGGGAGAAAAAGAGCATTGCCATGAGAAAATTTAAACAGATGGTTCTTTTTGGTCAGTCACCTAGAACTACGATATTCTTAGTTTTATTCTTTTCAACATCAGAGAATAGAAATTTAAGAAATCGGCTGGGTGTGGTGGCTCATGCTTGTAATCCCAGCACTTTGGGAAGCCAAGATGGGCGGATCACTTGAGGTCAGGAGTTTGAGATCAGCCTGGCCAACATGGTAAAACCCATCTCTACTAAAAATACAAAAATTAGCTGGGCATGGTGAAGTGCACCTATAATCCCTTCTACTTAGGGGGCTGAGGCAGGAGAATTGCTTGAACCTGGAAGGTGGAGGTTGCAGTGAGCCGAGATCGTGCCACTGCACTCCAGCCTAGGCAACAAAGCGAGACTTTCAAAAAAAAAAAAAAAAAATTTTAAGAAACCTCAGGTGGAAAACTAGAAGAGAAGAATGTACACATTTATGTAAGATGTTTTTATAAAAGTGTTTATGTAGTGTTACCAATAGATTTGAAGACGTAGGGTGTTAATACAGAATAACTTTTTAGAAAAAAACTCAAGATAGTTTTCATTCACTAATTTTTAATTTGATTGTCTCTGTTGGTAGTTGGCTTTTGTTGGAATATGCATACATTTTAAAGATTAAAATACTCTATTGTATTCAACTAAATACCTTTGGTTAGAGTATGACAGAGCTCTATTAGCAGTTAAGAAGAAGGAAAATCATGGCACAAAAATCTAATAGAAAACCTTCCTTGTTGCTGTCAGTCTTCCCTTCATTGAGCTTCTTTTTTATTGAGTTGGACTTTATCTTTGTTTAGAGCTTAGCCAGGTGGATCCCTGAGGAACTCAAGTTATGAAGAAATCAAATGTTGAAACCACCTTAAAATTCCTATACCTGTTAGTATCAAAAACCAGAAACTGCTTTTCATACACAGGCTGCATGCGTGACTCTAACTATGCAAATAATACCCTCCCCCACCTCCGCTTCCCCCGTCCCCTTTTGAATTATGGCATTTACAACAGAACTATTGCCAGATGGGTGTTGTTTGTCACATATTTCTTTTCCTCCTAACATTTAAACCCATTTCCAGTATGACAACCAGCAGCTGAGCCAACTTGAAGGTGCAACGTTGGGGCTCAATCCTAAATTTGTTCCTAGAATATCTATCTTGACTTGTTTTTGAGAAAGTGAAGCTCACATTTGTCACTATCACTGTAAGGGTTATTAATGACCAGGATTAAGGTGTAGTCATTGAGCATGCTGAATTCAGCTACACCGTGAATTCACTCTAACTAGCATGTGTTGTATACTCAGTCTCTTGCAGACCTCCAACAACAGGAAGAGGAAACCTATGCAGATGCCTGTGATGAGTTCCTGGATCCCATTATGAGCACACTGATGTGTGACCCTGTGGTGCTGCCATCTTCCAGAGTCACTGTGGATAGATCCACCATTGCGAGACATTTGCTCAGGTAGGCCAGTCCCAAAAAGCAGACTCAAGAGCACAGATATATATTAGTTTGCTATCTTTTTCTCTCAGGCACCTGATATAGTACTTTGCACCCAGTAGATACCACATATTATTGATTTACTGATATGTTGGAAGGCATTTTGGTATCAATTAATTGCTAGTGATATAAACATTGCAAAACAAAACATTCTGTTGAGAAATGCTAACTCTAACCTTACCTCTTCCTGCCTTAAGAAAATAATTTCTGACTGGGTGCACTGGCTCACGGCCTGTAATCCCAACACTTTGGGAGGCTGAGGTGAGCAGATCACTTGATGTCAGGTGTTTGAGACCAGCCTGGCCAACATGGTAAAACTCCGTCTCTACTAAAATACAAAAAATTAGCAGGGCATGGTGGTGCACACCTGTAGTCCCAGCTACTCAGGAGGCTGAGGCAGAATTGCTTGAACCTGGGAGGCAGAGGTTGCAGTGAGCCGAGATCGCACCACTGCACTCCAGCCTGGGCTCAGGTGATCCTCCTACCTCAGCCTCCCAAGTAACTGGTACTACAGGCATGCACTAACACGCCCAACTAATTGTTGTATTTTTTGTAGGGACAGGGTTTCCCCATGTTGCCCAGGCTGCTCTTGAACTCCTGGGTTCAATCGATCCACCCACCTCAGCCTCCCAAAGTGCTGCGATTACAGGTGTGAGCCACCACAACTGGCCATTTTTTTTTTTTTTTTTTTTTTTTTTTTTTGAGACAGTCTCGCTCTGTCACCCAGGCTAGACTGCAGTGGCGTGATCTCAGCTCACTGCAACCTCTGCCTCCCAGGATCAAGCGATTCTCCAGCCTCAGCCTCCCAAATAGATGGGACTACAGGTATGCACCACCACATCCAGCTAATTTTTGTATTTTTAGTAGAGACAGGGTTTCACCATGTTGGCCAGGTTGGTCTTGAACTCCTGACTTCAAGTGATCCACCCGTCTCAGCCTCTCAAAGTGCAGGGATTACAGGCATGAGCCACCACACCCAGCCTGTTTTTTATTTTTTTTCAATTCAGGTTTTACATTATATTCACCATGTGGGTTAACTCACATCCTGTTGCTGTTGTTGTATCAGCCATGGTATACATGAATTTTCCCCAGCCTGCCTATTCTTTGGACAGTCTGCCCCTTGATAACTGTAGAAAAGACAGGAATGGGCTGGGCGTAGTGGCTCACGCCTGTAATCCAAGCACTTTGGAGGCCAAGGCGGGCGGATCACCTGAGGTCAGGAGTTCAAGACCAGCCTGACCAACATGGTGAAACCCCGTCTTTAAAAGAAGAAAGAAAGGCCAGGCGCGGTGGCTCACGCCTATAATACCAGCACTTTGGGAGGCTGAGGCGGGTGGATCACGAGGTCAAGAGATCGAGACCATCCTGGTCAACACGGTGAAACCCCGTCTCTATTAAAAATACAAAAAAAATAATTAGCTGGGCGTGGTGGCGCATGCCTGTAATCCCAGCTACTCAGGAGGCTGAGGCAGGAGAATTGCCTGAACCCAGGAGTCGGAGATTGCGGTGAGCCGAGATCGCGCCATTGCACTCCAGCCTGGGTAACAAGAGTGAAACTCCGTCTCAAAAAAAAAAAAAGAAAGAAAGAAAAAAAAGAAAGAAAGAAAAGACAGGAATGAAGCAATAAATGGTAGCTTATTAGCTACTTAATCGGCCCCTTAACTTTTTTTAGTGCAGCATTAGGTAGAAATGGGTACTGAGAGACACTATTTATATACTTATTTATCTATTTTTTTGAGACAGGGTATTGCTCTGTCACCAGGCTGGAGTGTAGTGGCATGATCTCAGCTCACTGTAGCCTCACCTTCCTGGGCTCAAGCAACCCTCCCACCTCAGCCCCACCACGTAGCTGGGACCACAGGCCATGCACCACCATGCCTGGCTTATTTTTGTATTGTTTGTAGAGAAGGAGTCTGTCTGTGTTGCCCAGGCCAGTCCCAAACTCCTGGGCTCAAGCAGTCCACCCACCTCAGCCTTCCAAAGTGCTAGGATTACAGGCAGAGCCACCTTGTTTGGCCTCTCCATATTTAAAATTAAGTTATAGCAAGCCAGGCATGGTGGCTCACGTCTGTAATCCCAGCACTTTGGGAGGCTGAGGTGGGTGGACCATTTTCAGAAGTTCGAGACCAGCCTGGCCAACATGGTGAAACCCTGTCTCTACTAAAAATAAACAAATTAGCCAGGAATGGTGGCACATGCCTGTAATCTCAGCTACTCCAGAGGCTGAGGCAGGAGAATTACTGCAACCTGAGAGGTGGAGGTTGCAGTGAGCCGAGATCATACCACTGCACTCCAGCCTGGGCAATAGACCTATACTCTGTCTCAAAAAAAAAACAAAATTGTTTTATCTCTACAAAAAAATTATTTTTGCCAGGCATGGTGGCTCATGCCTGTAATCTCAGCACTTTGGGAGGCCAAGGCGGGCAGATCACCTGAGGTTAGCAGTTCAAGACCAGCCTGACCAATATGGAGAAACCCCATCTCTACTAAAAACACAAAATGAGCTGGGTGTGATGGTTCATGCCTATAATCCCAGCTACTTGGGAGGCTGAGGCAGGAAATCGCTTGAACCCAGGAGGCAGAGGTTGTGGCGAACTGAGATCATACCATTGCACTCCAGCCTGGACAACAAGAGCGAAACTCCATCTCAAAAAAAAAAATAAAATAAATAATTATTCTTAATTAGCCAACTGTAGTGGCATATGCCTGTAGTCCTGGCTACTCAAGAGGCTGAGGCAGATCGCTTGGGCACAGGAATTCAAGGCTGCACTGAGTTATGACTGCACTACTGCAATCATAACTGAGCCAAGATTGCACCACTGCACTCCAGCCTGGGCAACAGATCGAGATTCTGTCTCAGAAGAAAAAAAAAATTCTACCTCATGCTATTTGGTATTAAGCATTCACTATATGGATTATGCTATGCTAGGTGATATGTCTTTTGCAAAGTGTCAATGAAAATTTATATTTTATAGTGGCCTCAATATAGAGAGAAGATGTATTAGCCCTTAAAGTATGTCATAAACCACGCTTGTCCTAGCTGCATGTGTGGGCCAGGATGGCTCAAAACGTGGCCCAACACAAATTCATAGTTTCTTAAAACATGGGTTTTTTTTTGGTTTTTTTTTTTTTTGCAATTTTTGTTTTTTTAGCTTATTAGCTATTGTTAGTCTTGATATATTTTATGTATGGGCCAAAACAATTTTTCTAATGTGGTCTAGGGAAGCCAAAAAACTGACACCTGTCATAAACCTACTTACGTGTCAGAAAACCATGATCTGCATTTACATGCATAGCAATCAACTAACCAAATCAAATGTTAGTCTACAAGGCTTTCTTCCTTAAAATTCTTACATTGCTCTAAGAATCTGTCACTTTAATTACAAATAGTTATTTACACTGACATAAGTGTACAGTGTTTCTGCCTTAGAGAAATCTAAAGGTGACAGAAGCATAGCATTTTTTAAGCTCTTGTAATTAAGTATTATCTGAACAGCAGTATTGAGATAAGGTTTATTAAGAAGTAGAGGCTGGCCGGGCATGGTGGCTAACACTTGTAATCCAAGCACTTTGGAGGCCAAGGCAGGCAGATCACCTGAGGTAAGGAGTTCAAGACCAGCCTGACCAACATGTTGAAACCCTGTCTTTAAAAAAAAAAAAAAAAAAGTTAAAAATTTAAAAAAAAAAAAAATGGAGGCTGGGTGGGTGGCTCACACCTGTAATCCCAGCACTTTGGGAGGCCAAGGCTGGTGGATCACTTGAGGCCAGGAGTTTGAGAGCAGCCTGGCCAACATGGTGAAATCCTGTTTCTACTGAAAGTACAAATGTTAGCTGAGTGTTGTGGTACAAACCTGTAATCCCAACTACTCAGGAGGCTGAGGTGGTAGAATGGCTTTAACCCGGGAGGCAGAGGTTGCATTGAACTGATGTCATGCCACTATACTCAATCCTGGGTACTACTGCACTCCAGCCTGGATGACAGGGCAAGACTCTGTCAAAAAAAAAAAAAAAAAAAAAAAAAGGAAGGAAGCAAAGAGGGAGGGAGGAAGGAAGGAAGGAGAAACAAGAAAGGAAGGAAGGCTCCTGAATCATCTTTTTCTTACTCTTTCTAACCCCAACTCAGCATCTGACTCAAAGTTATAATAAACTCTGGCTTCATTCTTAAGATGAAATGCCCAGGTGTTCTATTTTTGGCTTAGAATGTTAGAACTTATGGAAATAACCCGATTTCTCTTTCTCTCTTCATCCCAGTGACCAAACAGATCCTTTTAACCGTAGTCCCCTCACCATGGACCAGATCCGGCCAAACACAGAACTAAAAGAAAAAATCCAACGGTGGCTTGCAGAGAGGAAACAACAAAAGGAGCAACTTGAATAGATACTGTGAACTAACCAAACCAAAACCAACCCCAGAGTGCAGATAAACAATTGTTTGTGGTTTCTCTCTTTCTGGTTCTGTTCCTTTTCTTTTTTTTTTTTTTCTAAATTAGAGAACTGCTCTTGCTGAAATTATGATAGTTAAGATTCCTAAGAACTTGACAGTGCTCCCCTGGCTTGCAGGAAATTATAGCATCACCAAGTTTAGAAATCGTCACTAATTTTCACCCTCTGTTGTCTCCTCATATTCTTTTCTTCTTCCTTTTCTTAAATGAAATTATATTATTTCAACTACTAAAACTTCCTACCACCCTATTTCTCTTCCAATTACTGTTCAAACATTTTTGGTGAGTGCTGCCTTTATAAATATATAATGTCACATATTTCAGTGACAGCTGATATTATCAGAAAATCTTGTGTTATACTGTGTATTTACTAGTCCTCATGATCTATACTTAAGCCCTTTTCTGTGTTACAGAATAACTTCACATAAAAGCAGATACCTTGAAGTTTGTGTAGACTTTTGAATAAGATGATAGATGAGAATTTTTTTTAAAGAATTTAAAGGAATCTTATGCAACTTCTGTTGGTAGCTCTTAATTTTGTTATAGAGTCTTTTTAATGAGGATTGGTAAGGGAGATGTAGTTTTGACACTTTAGTCAAAAAATTTCTGGGGTGAGGAGACTGTTGGGCCCTTATTCTCTTATGAAAATGTGTTTCTACAAGGACTAGGCCTAAGTAGATTTAGGCGAGTATCATATCCATGAAAAATGTCATTTTAAGACACTAATATCAATAGTGTATAGTGTGAGATGTATACATACACACACACACCATGTGCTTTTTTATGTTGATTTAGGGTAAACTGACTACCACTTTATATTTTCTGTTCCATAGTGAGATGTATGTAGTATGTGGCCATGTTTACTAACATACTCATTCTTGACAAAATTCTGAGATTATAAAATGTATATAGTTAATATTTGGGCTTGTGACCTGACTTGTAAGGGCTGCTTCTAACACAGCCTTAGGTCTTCAATTAACAAAGTAGGAATTTGAGCACAACCTTGTCCATAAGCCATTTTAAATATACACTTAGCCCTGTGTAGTTAGTAAGTGGATGGACACCACTGTAATTGAGCTTGAGCTCACTACTCAATTGTGCAGCTTAATATGCTAACTAGGGACATTCCCCTATGGATTGTCTTTATATCACTATCTTTCTAAACCCAGAGATATCATAAGTGACAAGAAAAGTGATAGGATCAAGAAACGGGTGTCACTGCTTCATTTGGAACATGTTATTAACTATGGTCTCTTTCAAATAAAACAGTAGTTTTATATTTCAACACAAGTGGCTATAAGCAGTCCTTGATGTGTTTTTGATGGTATCAGCTGGAAAGCCTCAAATTTAAGAGGGCTTCCCACCCCAGATATAAAATAGATGTTGCCTATTGCTGTGCTTATAAATGAAAAAGAAGTTGAGGACACTTTTGCAAATGCCAGAATGTAAGATTCATTCGGTGTGCTCCCCGGGCCTTTAAGGCATGGGTTGACAGGATTTGTTTTCTAAAATTAGCTTCATTCAATATTTATTATCCTTCTTTCCCTCTCAGAGAATGAACTATGTATAAAATAAGCTTCTGCCTATTTGCATTTATCCTCCAAACCCAATCTAGTAGGATGTTCAATCGAGTAGAATGTTTTCATTTTAAAAACAAGAGGGGAGAAGACCAGAGTTTTTCAGGAGAAAACAGGAGGAAAATGGGCACAAAAACTCAGAAGGCAGCTATTCCCAGCAGCTTCCTAGTTAACAACCTCCATGCTGCCTCCAGTCTCTGTATTCTTCTGTATTTAACCTTCAGATTGTAAGCCTTTTCTGGCAAGCTTGTCTTCTTTTCTTAAGCTCTTTTCCTGAAAGTTTTTATGAATGGCTATGGCACCATTAATGCTGCTGAATATCTGTAAACTCTTTGCACAGGCAAGTGTGTAGCTTAAGGCCACTACGGTAAGGAAACCAAGTGTCCTCTGTGCCTTTTTTCATTCTGTGAAGTAATTTAAGGACATCCAAAAAAATTAGACTTTAAAAAGTTATCATCTTGGTTCAACACCATGCGTATATACCCGTGGAAGCTTAAAAAGGTGTTTCGTCTGGAACTTAGAAGCAGCTCTAAATCTGGTAGAGCTGAGTTTCTAACATACCTAGTTTCATGTGTTGGCTTTCCTGGAGTATGACAGAAAATGAAGACTCTTTACTCAGCTCTGGTATTGCTCATAACTTACCAAGAGGCTAATACTAAACTTGGCAAATTGTTTATGTTTTATCAAGCAGTGTGGGTTTTGTTTTTTAATATAGTTTTCAATGGATATGTGAAAACTAAAGGAAACTTTAAAGGTTTTTTAATGGTGCAGGTGAAGATGCCAGTTGCTATTTGGTATCACACTCTACAAAAGCTTCATTACTTTATTTGATGCTGGTTGCTAAGCAGCCACTGCACAGAGCATAAGTCTACTGGGTGCCTTTACAAGCCAGAGGCTGATGCTGCACTGTTGATGTCATGTGAGGAAATAATGCACATGCTCTAATTGCTCAACAGGAAATGAACCTAGAAACAGAAAATGAAGAACAAAAAGGTTGATTGAAATAAAACTTGATCAACACAACTGTATTTTGAAACATTCCAGGAAGGTTACTACTTGTCAAACTTGCCTGGCAGTGTTTGTTCAAAACTTGTATTTAATAAATGAACACCTGACTTACAACCTTTGTTATCACTTTATTACAATATGAAAAGTTAGTGCCAGTTTCAGAAATCCCCCTGAAAACTTAGAGGATTCTGACTTTTCACTCTTTTTTTTTAGATAGGTAATATCAAATATGTGTGACCTGGCTGACCCAGCCTGCCTTACCAGGCCTCTGGAGGGGACCCTGGGGTTACCCTCAGGAGATGAATGTCATGGCATGGTTTTCCTAACCAGCTCTCTTTTGGCTTCACTGTTTTTCCTTTGTCTGGCCTGAACCCCAGGTCTCTGGAATCATTTGCTGTTATCTTCCCTTTTCTTGCTCGTTTCTGTACCCCTGCCATGCAAGATCTCAGCCTAGATTAACTCAGCCATTCCCCTCTGCTGCAGAATCAAACTGCAGACCATTGATGGAGGATAAACAAAATTTTTAGAATGGTGCAACCACAGACTTGTCTCTATTGTTGCCCAACAATCCTTCTGTGTATCCTTCGGCTATTCCAAACTTTGGCCTCCTTCCTCAAATTCCTTCCCATCCTCCCCTCCCGTTTACCGCTTGCACTCGGATGACTTTGTCTTCTATTTTGCTGGGAAGATAAAAACCTCAGAGACTTTGAAGACTTTCAAACTTCTCTCCCATCATCCCATCTGTGGAAAAGACCCCATAGATCCCTGGCTATTTCTCCTTTCCTGCCTCATTAGGGCTCTTGTCAATATCCCTTCTCATCAGGCAGGGTGGCCTGTGCCTGTAATCCCAGAGCTAAGCGAGAGGCTGAAGTGGGATGATCTCTTGAGGCCAGGAGTTTAAGACCAGCCTGGACAATATGGCAAGACCCCCATCTCTAAATAAATAAATCATTGACTCTCTCTGTCTTCAATTTCTCCCGAGTTGCACATCCCCCTTTGGTTTTCTGGCTTGTAATCCTTTACAGTCATATTTCTTCACAATTCACCCTGGCTTCTATCCTAATTTTTTGAAGCTGCATTAATGTTAAAGATTTCCATATTGCTAAATTAACTTTCCCATCCTTAATTTGACTTCTCTGCAGTATACTAGGGCAGGAGAATAACTCTTTCATTGAAAAGTTCTTAGTTCCTGATATCACTTCTAATTTTTCTTTTCACCTCTCTAACCATTCCATAAATCAGAGATTTACTTCTGCTCAGACTTCTCCAGGATACTTACAGTTCTGTTCCTCTCATCAAATGCCACTTCCCTACATAACATCTTTTCCTTCTCATATTAAACTATGAAGTTTCAGCTCTGTAGTATACAGCTGTTCTCTCACACGTCGGCTCAAGGATCTTCTCTAGGAAGTATGCTCAAATCAGCACCATGCCTGATCTCATAGAATGCCCATCTCTGAGTTTACATTCCAACTTCTTCAGATCTCAACTCTGCCACTTCCAAATTGTGTGGTCATTTTTCAAGCTCAGTCTCAACGGGAACAATGCCTTAAGACACAGGCTTTCTTTAAATTACAAAATGCCTGGCATAGTGTTGGCGTTCAGTACGTGTGATTTTGTTCCTGACATCTACACAGCTCCTTGTAGCTAATTAGGGAGTTAGGGGAAATGGATTCCAATCCTGATAGAGGATTTTGGGGAGAGTGGGATTACAAAAAATCAGCTTTAAAAAGGGCTATCGGCGGCCGGGCGCGGTGGCTCACGCCTGTAATCCCAGCACTTTGGGAGGCCGAGGTGGGTGGATCACGAGGTAAAGAGATCGAGACCATCCTGGTCAACATAGTGAAACCCCGTCTCTACTAAAAATACAAAAAATCAGCTGGGCATGGTGGCGCATGCCTGTAATCCCAGCTACTCAGGAGGCTGAGGCAGGAGAATTGCCTGAACCCAGGAGGCAGAGGTTGCGGTGAGCCGAGATCGCGCCATTGCACCCCAGCCTGGGCAACAAGAGTGAAACTCCGTCTCAAAAGTAGAATAACAAAAAATAAAAAAAAAAAAGGGCTATCGGCCGGGCGCAGTGGCTCACGCCTGTAATCCTAGGACTTTGGGAGGCCAAAGCTGGAGAATCACCTGAGGTCAGGAGTTCAAGGCCAGCCTGGCCAACATGGCAAAACCCCATCTCTACTAAAATTACAAAAATTAGCTGGGCATGGTAGCGCGCCTGTAATCCCAGCTACTCGGGAAGCCGAGGCAGGAGAAGCGCTTGAACCCGGGAGGTAGAGGTTGTAGTGAGCCGAGATCGCGCCACTGCACTCCAGCCTGCGCGATGGGAGCAAGACTCCAACTCAAAAAAAAAAAAAAAAAAAAGGTTGGGGATTATGGGGCCAGGCGCGGTGGCTCACCCTGTAATCCCAGCACCTAGGCGAGCGGATCATTTGAGGCCAGGCGTTCGAGACCAGCCTGACCAACATGGTGAAACCCCGTCTCTACTAAAAATACAATAACTTGCCGGGCGTGGTGGCTGGTGCCTGTAGTCCAATCTACTCGGGAGACAATGCACGACTATCGCTGGAACCCGGGGGCCGGAGGTTGCAGTGAGCAGAAATCGTACCACTGCACTTCAGCCTGGGCGACAGAGCGAGACTACCTCAAAAAATAAAAATAAAATGGGCTATGGATTGAGCCGGTTACAGGTTGTGTGGTGCTTGCTAGGCCCCTAACTTTACAGATTTGGCCTTGGACCCTCTCTACCTCTGTACAACGATCGTGTTGGACTAAAAGAATCTCTCAGCGAACTCTTCACCAATACTGACTTCATACTAGGGCAGCAGGATCACAGCAAAGGAACCCTGCGCGAAATAGCGCAGGTCGGCTGCAAGAAAAGCACTGCAGCTTCAGGGCGCATGCGCATTTCCCCTCCTTGCCGGTGTTCCGGGTCTCTACGAGTGGCTGCCCCACAAAATGCCTGCTTCTCTGCAGCATCCCACTGTTCTTCACATGCTCTCTAATATCACCTTTTCATATCCACTTTCTCCTCCATGTTGAAAAAAATAAATTGACAGACTAGATCCTGCAAAGATCTTTGGACATTTAAATATCTTGGACCGGCGCGGAAAGAGGCGGCCTGACCTTGGAAGTGGGACGGGGTCCTGCAGTGGGTCCTTCCGGGGGGGTGACATTCAGCTGGCCGTTCGGGGCGACGGACTTTCCATCCCAGAACCATGGCCCAATTTATCCGTAACCTTGTGGAGAAGACCCCGGCGCTGGTGAACGGTGAGCCCGATATGAGACTGGCGGGGGGGGCACACGGACGGCGAGGAGGCCTGCGATGGCCTGAGAGGTAGAAGCAGGCGGCAAAGACTCGAGGGGCCTTGCGGGAGCCGGGGCGGGATGGGCTGCAGGTGGAGGGAGCTGGAGGCAGGTTGGCGACTCTCCTTCAGCCTTCCGCTCGCTTGGCCTGCAGATTGGGTTCTCTACACAGCCTAGAAGTTCCTGAATTCTAGCCATGACGGGGAAGAGAGGTAGCGTGAAGGATGCCCGGCAGCTGCAGCCATTACGCCCCCTGAGATCGCTAAGAGCAGGGATCTGGGCGGGTTGGCTCTGTTAGGAGAGCCAAGAAAAGGAAGGGCAGAAGCGTGTGAATGTGCATCAATTCGGCCTCATCACATGGTCCGGTTCTCAGTGAAATATTTGGAAGTCTACAGAAATGTTTAAGGATGGGTGAGCTTTTTGAACGTTCCTTTGACGGATTCTGAGATACTTCCGCTTTAATCTGAGGGAAGCTTTAGGTGGAAATGGACTTCATGGATGAGTATCCGTGCCCCGAGAATCATAGAACGGGTTCCGTATAAACAGTAATCTTTGTTTTTACATCTTAGCATTCGTGGAATTTTTTCAGCTTGAAGAGCCTCACTGGTAGACCGCTGTATTTCACAATAACCCTGAATAATCCCAGCCCCTGAGTACTAGTTTATTCGGCCAGTTAATATTTCAATTGTCTTCTCAGTGGTAAGCTTTTCATTTTATTCCTGAAGTGAGATAAGCTAAATTGACGTAAGTTTTTCCTAGGTGTGCTATAAGCACACTGAAGGTCAGATCTCTTAACTTTCGCTCAGATTTATAAAATGTTCGTAGAAAACAGAATTTTTTTAAAAAAAAATGTAATATTTTTGAGCCTATTTTGCTGTGTTTGAGTTTGATTTGGGTATTTTATTTTCTTCCTTTCCTGCCCCCCGACCCCAGAAGACAGGGACTCACTCTGCAGTGGCTCACTGCAGCCCCCGACTCCCGGGCTCAAGCGATCCTTCCACCTCAGCCTCCTGAGTAGCTGGGATCACAGGCGCACACCACCATGCCTGGCTAATTTTTGTATGTTTTGTAGAGACAGGATTTCGTGATGTTGCCCAGACTAGTCTCTAACTCCTGGGCTCAAGAGATCCTCCCGCCTCGGCCTCCCGAAGTGCTGGAGTTACAGGCGTGAGCCACAGGGCAATCCGGGTATTTTATTCATTCTCTCCTCTCTTCCCTCCATCACCAGCCAAACTCTGAGTTATTGAAGCCTCTCCTGCAGAACCTCACAGCCTACCAGTGAAACATTTTACACATTTTCCTAAACAATTTCTTAAACTTGCAAGAAAATCTTTACTAAGATTATCACGATATCTGTCATAGAGCTCTTCGATTTTATATAAATCAAAAGAGATGGCTCTGCATGGTGGCTCATGTCTGTAATCCCAGCACTTTGGGAGGCCAAGGCAGGCAGATCACTTCAAGTCAAGACCAGCCTGGCAAACATGGTAAAACCCCATCTCTACTAAAAATACAAAAATTCGCCAGGTGTGGTGGTGCAGGACTGTAATCCCAGCACTTTGGAAGGCCAAGGTGGGTGGATCACCTGAGGTCAGGAGTTCCAGACCAGCCTGGCCAACATGGTGAAACTTCGTCTCTACTAAAACAAAAATTAGCTGGGTGTGGTGGCAGGCACCTGTAATCCCAGCTAGTCAGGAGGCTGTCAGGAGAATCGTTTGAACCCAGGAGGGAGAGGTTGGTTGCCATGAGCCGAAATCGCACCACTGTACTCCACCTGGCAACAGAGTGAGACTCCGTCTCAAAGAAAAACAAAAAAACAAACAAACAAACAAACAAAACAGAAAAAAAAGATTGGAGGCTTCACTCTGGACTTTGTGGATGATTTAAGGCATATTTCAAGTGGATTTTTTTTTTCTGGTGTGGCTTTCACATTTTTTAGGTGGCACATATTAAGGAATTGCAAACTAATGACAAAATCTAAAAGGAAAAGTAAGTAATTTTATGAAATATATAAACCCTTCCCTCCATTATTGTGAACAATTGAAAAATAACTTGTTATTCTTCCAAAAGTACTTAGAAAGGAGGACTCAGCTGGGCCAGAATGTTAATGTGGAACTACATTTTGCTTCATAACATACATAGGCTAGTGTATTAAATGTGAGTGTTAAATAGTTAATAAAAATTACTGACTACATGTGTTAATTCTTCTAAGGGGCCAAAGAGGCTTATGGAAATAAGTAATTTTATCATCAGGCTTGCCTAGGAAGATCATAGAGTGTGATATTTTTTTTCCCCCTTAACTAAACTGTAGACTTTATTTGTATTTCAACAGTTTTTCCATTAATCTCTTTCAGTTCCGGGGTCCAATCCAGTGTACCACATTGCATTTAGCTTCTGTGTCTTCCCAGCCTTCTCTGGTCTGGGACAGTTTCCCACTCTTCCCTCATCTTTCCTGACCTTGACAGTCTTAAGGTGTCTAGGTATCTGTCTTGTCTAAGTATCTGTCTAGGTATCTTGAATAATTTCCTCAATCTGGATTGGTCTGATGTTTTTCTCATGCTTAGTCTGGAACTATGGATTTTGAGGAAATGCCAAAGGGATGAGGTACCCTAATCACATGTCAGGAGGTATATGATGTTCATATGACATCACTGGTGATAAAAGATTTCATCACTTGGTTATAGGTTCCTCCTCTGTAAAATTACTGTTTTTTCTCTCAGTGTTCTGTTCTTTAGAAACAAATAACTAAGCCTATCCCATAAAGGCAGGGTGTGATTACAGTGGGGGATTCCATCTCTTATATCTACATAAATTAAATAGAATTCTTCTGTGAGAAAGATTTGTCTCTTCTGCTTTTATTTATCTAATCACTTATTGTATGGACTTGCACATTTATTTCGTACTTTGTATATCAAATATCATATTATTGCTCAAATTATTTCAGCCTCAGCTATTCGAAAGCTCTTTCGGGTTAGCACCTGTCTGTCCCTTTGACATGCCCTTTCACTTTCTAGTGCTACAAGATGCTTCAGATTTATATTGCATTTACCCTGTCCCTGCTTTAGAATCAGCCATTTCTCCAAGGATCCTTAGTATGTTTTATTGGACAATAGAATTGAGAAACTAAGGTCTGGGTGCTGTGTATGTTCCTTGCTACTAGAATATCACACTTCTAGGTCCTCTCAATTGACAGGGATGTAGATATGTATCCATATAGATGGGTATATGTGTATACATGTGTACTAACCCATGCAGATACATGAATATGTGTATATAAAATTGTTTCTGTGTCTATTAATCAGTGTACGTATTAAGCTAAACATGAGTCCAACTCTAACCCAGTACCATTGGGTTTATTCTTGCTTCACCTCCACGGAGAAACCTAGCTCCCTCCATCTACCATTCATTATGTTTTATCTCTTGTATACATGTAAAGCAGTTTCAAACTCTTGAACCTGTATCCCCTAAGAAACAAATTTAGCACCTAAAATAGTGTTTATGTACAATATACTGATTCATGTTTTTATAGGGTGAAATACCTGTGTGTTGGAGTTTTGTTTGTTTGTTTGTTTGTTTTTGAGACAGTCTCGTTCTGTCACCAGGCGCCAGGCTGGAATGCAGTGGCGCGACCTCGTCTGACTGCAGTCTCCTCCTCCCAAGTTCAAGCAATTCTCCTGCCTCAGTGTTGGAGATAATATTAAAGACAGTTGGTTGACTGGTCCACAAGACTGTACTTTTTTTGCTTGCCCCATCTTACAGGCATTGGCAGTTCTATTTGGAACTACCTCTTGGAGATTTGTGTCTGCTTCAAGGTATGCCCATACCCCCAAACACAGAAGATGAGGGAGACAAGGGAGATAGTAATTCAGAAATACTTAAATAGAGGCAGTTAATACAAGGAAAACACCAAGAGGCTTGAGTAATTCAGTCTTTGAACAACAGACACTTTATGGATGTTCATGCTATTTTTATTACATTTCTCTTATAATTTTTGAAACAGTCTCATTCTGTCCGCCAGGCTGGAGTGTAATGGTGAGATCTTGGCTCACTGCAACCTCTGGCTCCCGGGTTCAAGCGATCTTGTGCCTCAGCCTCCCAAGTAGCCGGGACTACAGGCACACACCACCATGCCCAGCTAATTTTTGTAGTTTTAGTAAAGACAGGGTTTCACCATGTTGGCCAGGCTGGTCTCAAATTCCTGGCCACAAGTGATCTTCTCTCCTCGGCCTCCCAAAATTCCGGGTTTATGGGCATGACCACTGCACCTAGCCTCTCTTGTAATTTTTTTAAAATAAAAAATGTCTTTCTCTTTCTGAAATCACTACCACAATCCACACAGCTACCCTGGTTGCTAATGATCTCTTCTCTTGAAATAGTAAATACCTTGAGGAATTCCAGCTTAGTAATAGATTCTAGTTTTGGCTGTTCTTAACAATACATGTAGGTTTTACTTTTATTATTTGTGGTGTCTTTGGAAGAGGAGCAGCTGTGCTTTTGTTAGAGAAAGAATTTAATCCAGCACATATTGATAAGGATACCAAAATGGGTACCAGTTTTTATAATTGCATCTGGATTTATAGATAATGTTATGATAAGTTTTAATCTTGTTCTTAAGAGTGCCATTCTAAATCCTTCATCCCTTTCTTCACCTCTTTCTTCAAATTTGCTGGTCTTTCTACAAGAAAATATGAATAAACTGACTGTTCTCTTGTTTTTAAATGCAGCTTCTAGCATCTTTACAGTTAGCTAGATTTGTCATTCATAAATGAAATGCAGTTCTAGCTGGCCACTAGTGAAGAACTGGCATAATTGAATGTGCTTGTAGCATCCTGCCTGATTGAACGTCCCTGTGGCACAGGTGTTCTGCTTCTTTAAAAGCCTCTTGTTACCAGGGAGCAGCTTTGACTTTTCACACCGGGTACACATTTGGTACAAGCAGTGAATGAAGGTGATGCATGAATAAATATTTCTGTCCAGCCCACACATCTGCTTCTTTTGGTCTCTAGTGAGTTCATCCTGGTTTTTTTGTTTTGTCTTGTTTTCCAGCTGCTGTGACTTATTCGAAGCCTCAGTTGGCCACATTTTGGTACTACGCCAAGGTTGAGCTGATTCCTCCCACCCCTGCTGAGATCCCTAGAGCTATTCAGAGCCTGAAAGAAATAGTCAATAGTGCTCAGACTGGTAGCTTCAAACAACTCACAGTTAAGGTAACCATGGGCTAAATGAAAACGGATGTGCATAACAGAAAATGTCTTCCCTTGGGATTTTTCTGATTGTTTTGATTAATATATGTGTTTCCAATGAGGCTGAATCCAACATAACGAGAAAAAAAAGCTTTTTGTTTGTTTGTTTTGAGATGGAGTCTCACTCTGTCCCCCAGGCTGGAGTGCAAGTGGTGCAATCTCGGCTCACTGCAACCTCTACCTCCTGGGTTCAAGCAATTCTCCTTCCTCCACCTCCTGAGTAGCTGGGACTACAGGCGCATGCCACCACACCCAGCTAATTTTTTTTTTCATTTTTAGTAGAGACAGGGTTTCACCATGTTGGCCAGGCTGGTCTCAAACTCCAGACCTCAGGTGATCCACCCACCGTGGCCTCCCAAACTGCTGGGATTATAGCCATGAGCCACCGTGCCCAGCTGACTCAATTTAACAGTTTCAGGACACTGTCTTGGGGAAAAGAAGAGAAGAAACATTTGATGCTGTTTTGACCACATCCTAAGGAGTAATCAGGGCAGTAGTGTCATTGACTTTACTTTAGCCGTGGGTTGTGCACAGGTGGCAGAGTTCCCTCAACACAAGGTAGTCTAGTCCCCAAGTTGTGGGCCTTGAAATCTGATTAGTGTTCTGCCTTCAACTGGACACTGACTATTTAAAAATTAAGTCTTCGTATGTCAAGGGGAAAATAAAGTAACCACGTCTTAGGAATGGGACCCAGGGGTCATCCTGGCTCTGATGCTCTGGTTGTTGGAGGTTTAAATCCTATTTTTGACTGCTGAGGAAGATACTTATTTTTCTAATTTTGTCACCAGGGTAGAAATAATTAGCCCATTTTATGTCTTAGTTTCCTAAGCGTCTTAAACCTAGCAAAAAAGTAAGGATATTTATTGGGATTTTTTTTTCCCCTTTCGTGTTTAGATAGTATACTAAAATATGATGGCTTGCTTTGCTGAGTCTGTACTTTTTTCATCTGTATTCCTGGAATTGTCCCCTATTCAGCCAAAGTATCTCTTGAACTATATCACAGTCAGGAAGCTAACACTTCTTATATGTAGGATAAAAGTACCAAACCTGGGTTATTGAATTGTGTGAAGATAAAATCTAAAAACTATAAGAATTGGAACCTGTGGCCATGCGCAGTCACTTCCTACCTGTAATCCCAGCTCTTTGGTAGGCCAAGGTAGGAAGATCACTTGAGGCCAGGAGTTCAGGACCAGCCTGGACAATATAGCAAGGCCCTATCTCTGCCCCAAAAAAAGTGAAAAAAATGCCGGGCGCGGTGGCTCAAGCCTGTAATCCCAGCACTTTGGGAGGCCGAGGCGGGTGGATCACGAGGTCAAGAGATCAAGACCATCCTGGTCAACATGGTGAAACCCCGTCTCTACTAAAAATACAAAAAATTAGCTGGGCATGGTGGCACGTGCCTGTAATCCCAGCTACT